TCCCTCTGTACTGCCCCCTTCCCAGAGCAGCACTCCCTCTGTACTGCACCCTGCCCACTGTCCAGAGCAGCACTCCCTCTGTACTGCTCACTGCCCACTCTCCAGAGCAGCACTCCCTGTGTACTGCACCCTGCAAGAGCACTAATCAGTAATTGACAAGTGATGAGATTTTCAGTGTGAATCCAACTGACAACCTTATGTGTCAATGTACCCAATGATCCCAACAGACAGCCATTGCTAAAGCCACATTCAACGACAAACTTCCTGCTAATTATTTAAAACAGGGAAACATAATTTGTGTTTTACAAGTCATCAATCCCAGTAATTACAGTAGCAAATTCCAATGATAATTGATAATGTAAGGATTCTCGTGCAAATGGTGTATATAATGAGCTGGAAAGAGGGCAGTGAAAGGAGAATAATAGCTTCAAACCCTCCAAACAAATTGTGGGTCACATTTTGTAACAAATCTGAATCTGAATCAGGAGGTTTTAAAGTATTTTTGTTGGGTGCCGTTGGGTTATGAAGAAATTGAGTAATAATAAGAACTCAGTGATAAAAACAGAAAGTGCTAAAGAAACTCAACTGGTCTGGAACAGCTGTAGAGAGAGGAACAGAGTTAATGCTTGGAATCCAATACAATTCTTTTTTGAAAATGTAACAGATTGTAGAAGTGATGGGTCGTATGCTATAGAGAAAGGAGCAGGTTGAACAGACAATGAAGGTACCCCAGAACAAAATATAGAGGGAGTGCGAATGACAGTAAAGTAAAATGTAGATGAAGAGTAGGGTTGTTGTTGCTGGATGTCAATGGTAGAAAATGAACCAAAACCCTCAAAAACAGGACTGTGGTAGGGAGGGGAGGGGATGATCAAAATGGAGGATTGAGTTCATTGTTTAACAATGTTGAGTACTGAAGGCTATTCAGTGCCTAAGTGGAGGAAGACCTTCCTCCAGCTTGCATTGGGCTTCAGTGGAACCCTGCAGCAGGAATTTGGACAGATTTTATTTGTGATAATCAGTTAACTTCCCTCACTCAGTTTGCACCAACTTTCAGTGAGCATCTGCCTAGGCAACAATCTTCCATTGGAAACAGTAAGATCTTTGTGGTCATTGAGAGAATGGGATTGTTTCTGTGAGCAGGACTCAATGTCTATCTGTCTGTCCATCCCTCCAGCAAATCATTTAATGCATTTGCTTCAAGTCTGATTAATAATCTTTCTTTTAACATTTTTTGTAAATTCATGTTTTCCTAGTTAATCGTTAGTGTGTTAAGAAATAATATTAAATCATCTTCTGACTGTAGATTGTGCAGAGAATAAAAGGGCAGAAAAAATGTAACAAATGGATCAAGTAGTTTCAGGTTTCTCTCTGTGTCCCTAATCCCTGCACACTCCAGTAACCTCCTTCATCCTCAATAAAAACTTACAGTATGTATTTTCAATATTAAATGTTAAAGACATACCATGACCTTGCTGTGTACCCCGGCCACAGGGAAAGCCAGAGGGAGTGTTTTCCTAGAGTTGGGGCAGAAACTGAAGGCGGGAGAGAATGTGCTGGGAAAACACGCTAAGGTGCACACTATGAGAATTGGAGCAGATTCACTTACTCCAGGAATCCTCTGCACAGATTATTAACTGCATGAAATTCTCTGAAAAATACAAACTTTTCCATCTAACGAATGGCCAGTGGTTTACATGCACAGTTCCTGCTGGCGAATGATGAGATACACTCAGTGTCTGGAGGAGACTGAATAGAGTCAAAGTAGCAAAAGATAAAACTCATTTCAGGTAAGAATTACAAAATTTAGAATCTAATTACAAACTCTGAACACATTTAAATTAGTCACTATTTATTTTACAGTAATGTATTTGCATATAGATTTTATATGTAGAAATATTTTCAGAGTGAAAACACAAATGTTCCTGTTTCATATCTGCCCATCCATAGTGGGGCCACCCATCCTGAGGACAGAGGCACAAGTTGAGGGATAAGGGAGAGAGCAAGCAATGAGGGAGGGAGAGAGGACTTGGAAGGGTAGAAATTGACAATTTTTAATCCTAAAGCTCAAGCAGAAGTGTCTCTGTCCCTCTCCAGCAGAATTTCAAGTCAGGAATCAGCAAAACGCTCAGTGCTGATGGGATAATCCGCTCCATTACTTGCTGTAACGCTTCAATATCTGGACCTCCTCCACTGGTTCCCACTTCTGGTTAATTGTTAGCAGCTACAGGTGGACAGGAAACAGAAACAGAGGACTCACTGCCAGCAACTCTCAGCTCCAAATCCAAACACATTCAGATGCTCACAGATATCGGCTTCAGGAATATTCTTGAATGTTACTCAAAAAGCCTAAATCCTGTTTCCAATGGGTTACAAATATTAAATAAAGCAGAAAAATACACAAGTTTTTGATGCTCTGAGACATTCCCCCACTTACCCCATTGAGCATGCCCCAACATTCTACCCAATTGGGCTGATTGAACACTTCAAATCCTTTTACCCAGTTCATCCCCATAACCCTGTACATCATTGACCATCAGAAATCGATCAAACTCTACTATAAGTGATCTCAAAGACTGACCTTCCACAGTCCCTCCTGTGGGTTAGAATTCCAAAAGTTCACAACCCTCCAAATAAAAAGTAATTTCTCCTCATCTTGGGCCTAAGTGGCTATCATTATTTTTAAATTGGGCCTCAGTTCTAGATTTCCCACCCAGTAGAAATATCTGACCTGCATCTACCCGGTCTAGCCTGTTGTGTACTTTGTAAGTTTCATTGAGACTACTTCTCATTCTATGAAACTCTAAAAAACACAATTCCAGTTTCTTCAATCTTTCTTCAAAGGTCACAGCATTCCAGGAACAAGTCTGATGTACCTTCACGGTATTCCTTACTAAGGTAAGGGGACCAAAACTGCACACATCACTCCAGGTGCAGTCTAACCAAGCTCCTGTACTACTGAAGCAAGACTTCACTGCTCCTGTAATCAAATCCTCTTGTAATAAAGATTAATATTTCATCCGTGTTCCACTAGTTTGCTGCACTTGCAAGTTAGCTTTCAGTGACTTATCGACAAGGATACCAATGTCCCTTTGTACCTCCACATGTTCCAACCTCTCACCATTTAAGAAATACTCTGCACATCTGTTTCTCCTACCAAAGTGAATAATCCCACATACTTCCACATTTTCGTTCATCTGCCACATTTTTTGTTACCTATACCCTAAGCCTGTTCAAATCTTGCTGAAGCTGCTTAACATCTTCCTCAC